TGGGCTCTTCTCATACTAATAACCCATTTGGACTTTAGTAAAAGAGCAAACCCAACAAAATCAATAAGCTAAAGTGAAACTGAAATTGATACATAAAAAAGGAAGCAATTACTATAATGAGGACAAGAATATGAGCAAGCGAGGGTGGACTTTTGGGGTTGAGCATTTATATATCTCTTTGAATTAATTTGAAGTACCAAAAATGACTCTTCTTCAAACTGTTCTAACATTGTTGGGTTAGGATACATAACGTTTACTAGTTTAAGGTAGTAGAAGCTTGTCTTGTAAGAGATGAAGCACCTTCCTCGTATAGAGCGAAATCAGAAAAAGTTATCTCAAAAGTAGAGGACAAAAGTGGAACTTATGTGACTGTGAGAGGTGATGTTGGACTTGGACATATACGAGTGGAAGCCATGACGATAAATTTAGATGAAAAGCTTTGTGTAACGCACATTCCATACATACTCATAGGAATTAATGTTTTTATAAGATAAAATTATCTTGTACATATATAAAAAAATATATATGAGATTTATATTTTTTTTCTTTTTTTTTTTTATATGATTTCACATGAACCTCGCACACTTTTATAGTGTGTAGGAGATAAACAACACGAAAAACATTAATCTCATTAATTAATTTATTGGTTTTGATATTTTTCATATTGTAACATGTAAATTTATCTCTTACAAGCAGATATATAAAAGTGTGTGGACCCATAAGAAGAAAATATGAACCGCGCACACTTTTATGTGTGTAGAGATAAATTTATTTTCTACAACATGAAAAACATTAAACCTTAATTTATTTTGAATTAAAAATAAATTGACTTAAAAAAATTGAGTAGAAAATTCTAAACAAAGAAAATAATAATTTAACTCAAACGCGTAATTTGTCTTCTTTATGCCTATAAATTTCAAGATACTAGCTTTTTGAGAAATTGAGTATTTACTTCGCACTTTTTTAATTATTAGTTGGTTTTCCTTCGTAATTAGTTATTAGTGGGGCTTGGGCATGTTGCTTCTGTCTATCCCTAAAAGCATTGATTTTATTATAATCAATTAATAATGCTATCCATAACTTAAGCTCTAGTAGCATTTATTTCTATAATTTGAAGATTAATATGATACAATATTTGAATTTTATTGAACATTATCCACATTGTATCATTAATTCCCCCCCCCCCCCCCCCCCCCCCCCCCCCCCCCCCCCCCCCTACTAATTAGTCTTAAAAAAGTCTTAGAACTTCTTTTGTAACTATAAATGAAATTTATTATTTCAAATTCAATTACTTGCTAAGAAATAAGTCCACACTAACATGAAAAATAATTAATAAGTCACATGTGGTGTGACACAAGAAAATTTAACATATATATACATTCTAATTAAAATAGCTAAATATTTTTTAAAATATCACAAAATCCAAACAGAGATATGTTCTTTTCTTTAAGAGTTGACTACTTGTATTGAAATTGAAACTTTTTAAAAATATGTCAGAAAGTGATGTGTTCGATCGGTAAAAGAAATTGCCATGCTTTTTTTTTCACAGACTACATTTTTATGAAAAGTGTCAATTAATTGATTATTTCCTGAATTTATAACAGTCAATACCTACTGAATTTAGAATTAACAAAACCTTTGAAGGGGGGGATTCATGCGTGAAGCATGATCATATACTTGGTGAGGTCGAAGGAGGTATATGTTGCATTTAAAAATATCTAATTCATGATATTTCAATTGTGGTTATTTCCTAGTATCTAGGAAAAAGCAATTATTATGAATATCATAAGAAAAATTAATAGAACTTTGATTCAAGTTGGCCAAACAAAATTATTTAGGTATATATATGCGTATGCTTTGTCTACCCAACGAATACTGGGAAGGATTTTGAGCCTAAATATAATTAGAGGTTCAGATTTAATACAAAAGTGTAGATAATATATATGGTGAAGCACCATATTAGTTATGACTTTGGATTGACAGGCAAATTAAAGCCACTTCAAAATAGTATCTACACAACACTTCTATTCATGACACTACGCCCAAGTTTTATAAATGTAAATTTAAGAAGAAAAAAACTATCTGAAAATGTAGCTCCATCTTTATTTCTTTGTAAAAGCAATTAAGATTGTGAAGGCTACATTACTAAAAATAATAAATAACCATAACAAACAACGTAACAATCTCATGAATTCAGTTATACTTTTTTTAAGGGGTTTTTTTCTCTCCTAATCCTCGAATTTGATAAGTTTTTTTTTATTTCAATCTTTTTTCCATTTCATAATCTACGTAAGCTCTCATCCATTCAATAACACAGGAATATCACCCACATATTTTTTTCCAAAAAGAACAAGAACACTATACAAAGGTAGCGAAGAAATTGGTATACACAATGTTGTTAATGGAATTGGATAATGTCAGCTTTTGATCAACATATTAAATAGCCAAGGGTTTATCATCAAGATAACAAATTGCCGAGTAAACAAGCAAGAGATGAACATGTTCATCATAATGGAATCTTATTATCTTATAAATTGTATATTATTATAATGTAGTTTCAGTTTCCAAGTGACGCTCACCATGATGAAGCAGAAAGGCATAATCATCTAAAGCACAGAAGTCATGGTCCACCAATATGCACACTACACATCTAAAAACATGTTTAAAAGCGATTAAGTATCAAATTAAGAAAGCTAAAGAACATGAAAGAACTAAAGTTACGTGCCGATGTTTATTCCATGATTTTGATGCTCAAAGCTAGCTAGCTAGCTAGAAGTGATGATAATTAAATTAATTTCGGTACAAAAACAAAAGAAAATATATTCTTCGAAACTACATAAGGGCAGTTTCTGATTCTTAATGAAGGGGCTCTAAAAATAATGTTAATTAAAGTTCTCTTCAGTATTATATAGTAAGACTCGTATATAGCTACAATAAAAAATAATATAAAAGATGTGGAATTCAGTGTAATTAATTAAATTACATATACGTTTTTATTATGAGTTAAATATATATAGGAAGTGTAAAATAATTCAGAAGTTCAATATATATTACTGCATGTTGTTCAGATGTGAAACTAAGAATACATATATAGTGACTATATATGGAAGTGTCCAAAATGGCACCCTTAACACAAGTGGTGCTATATATAGACATATTCAGGAAGTGTTACATTATGGAGAATGATCTTTGGGAAGTGCTGATCTATATGAAAACTCAGCTAGGGGAAATGGACAAGCTAAGAATAGAATCCAAGGAAAAGATAGAAACTAATAAACAAAGTGCATGTTGGTATTGGTGGAATAACAGTGTAGGAAGCAGAAAGAGCTAGGGTTTCAAGGAGCATCTATTCCATAATCAAGACAAAACTTTGAGTTTATTTATCTCTCTTTCCCTCTTTCCCCTATAATATATATATATATATATAGCAAGATCATTTTACATCAGTGTAAAATGAGAAATCAGAGCAGTTAGATATAAATAGAATCTACTATTTATAAATGATCTAGTCATATATAAATTAGATAAGTTATTCTACCTACATTTTTTTTATGTCTACCTTATCTATCACTTTCCAACATCATTAGTTCAACTAACTTTATCATTTCTCTCTCCTCTTAAGATTCTGATCTAACGGTGTTGGAGAATGAGAGTGGTAGGTATAATAACGTATCCGTATATATATATATATATATATATATATATATATATATATGGGACAGGATATTCTTACACTGGTGTAAGAGTTAGAAGTCTTACACTCAATCTTGACCATTGATCCACTTATATTTGATGGCTCACATTACTAAAAAATTTGAGCCCTTAGATATAAATGAGATCAGTGGACAAGATTAAGAGTGTAACTTACACCGGTGTAAAATGATCCTAACCCTATATATATATATATATATATATATATATATATATATATATATATATATATATATAACTTACCTCAACTTTGGTTTTACTTGCAGGCCTTTATTTCTCTAGTGTGAATGACACTAATTAGAGTGAGGCTTTAACGCTTGGTCTTGATGTGTGTTTGTTCTGGTTGTTGCCTCGAAAAGGAGCTTTTTTTCTCACAGAGGATTGCACGTGTGACCCAACACCCAATGTTCATCTCTGCCTCCATAATAAACCCTAATCACAGAGAGACAGACAAACAGAGTGAAGCCCATAACACCCCATTCTCCTTATTCCTTGAAATGGATGAAATTTACTTCCCAACATCTGTTACTTTCTAAGAGTTATCAACTTCAAAAATAAAATAAAATAAATAATGGAGAAAAATATTATTTCTCTACGAAACTTAAGAGTATTAATGATGGTGCTAATTTTAAGAAAATGGGTGTGGAAAGGGTGAGAGTTTGGATGCAATGATGGGTATTAGTAGCAGAGAAACTGAGAGTGAGTGGTAATGATGGATGAGTTTGTGTGTTCTAATTACTACAAAGGAGGGTAATTATTATGTCCTAGACTTTTTTCTTGAAACAGATAAAAATTAGAACAAGTTCATATATATATATATATTTTTTGTGGGGTTATATATAGATCGTGTGTTAGAATCTGAATCTATGTTCGAAGTCCTAGAAATCACCCCAAACAGGAAAAAAGGCACAAATGATAAAATAAAATAAAAAAGAGAAAAATATAAAACCGTTCTCTTTATCAGAAAAGGTACTAGAATTGCAGCAAGAAAATAGAGAGCACATGATAGATGCTACTGCTTCATCTTGAAGCAACTACAAACACTTTAACCGAACAAGGAAAGAAAATAAACCATTAGATAGATGCAATCATAAAACCCCACCAAAAATTCATGAATTTATACATCCTTCTTCAATTCATCAACACCGAGTTCTAAAAGATCAATACCATCAAAGGCTTAATTAATTAAAGGTAAAACTAAGTTATAATAAGGAAGAAGGAGAATGAACAAGTAGAAAAAAAAAAGAAAAAAGAAAAACAAAGATAAACGAAAATCATGAAACATTAAGTTAAAAAGGAGGACGAGCACTTCCACCCCAATAACCCTCATTTGGTAATTGACATGAATTGAGAAGATTTTGAGGCACTCCATGGAATAGAGAAGCAGTGTTATGATCTGCCACCAGCTGCGGCTGTTGCTGTTGTTGTTGCTGTTGTTGTTGACTTACAATTCCCGGTGACCCTAAACCTCCGCTACCGGTAACCGGTACCGGAGTTTCCTCTTCCTCTAAAGGAAGCCTCTCATAAGCAGCATTACCAAAAGAAGCAGCCATTATAACAACCGGACCAGAAGCCAAAAGGGGTCCCACAACGCTTCCACCAACAACCTGTCCTTGTCCTCCGGCTAGGTATATGGCCAGCCCCGATGCCGCTGGCGGTGCCGGCGGCGGAAGGAACGAGCCTGACAAGGAGAGAATCTCGAACCTTCCATGAAGTGTCACAACTGCACCGGGTGAAGCTGGTTGCCTGAGAGTGACGTTTGTGACGGTGCCACTGCCGCTGAGAATGCAAACGCCGCGCTGTCTCCGCCGCGCGAAGGTGGTGATGCTCTCCATGATGTCACAGCCGTTGGCGATTTCCATCACGTGGGATCGGAGAGCGTTTGCACTGTCTCTTGTTATGATGATTGGTGGTTTTGGTTTGTTCTTTGAACCCGCGGGTCTACCTCTTGGTCTTCGACCCATTTCGCTACCTCCTTCTCCGGTTCCCCCCGCTGAGCCTGATTCTTTGGCTTCACCTGCGGCGGAGCCTCCGGTTGGAGTGGTGGCCCCGGCGTTGTTTTCATCTCGATCTCGTTTTTGGCCACGGTTTAAACCGTTGCCATTTCCGCTTTGTTCATCTTCGCTGTTTTGGTGGTTGTGGTGTGGTTGGAATTGGTGGCGTTGGTGTAGATGAAGATCTCTAGTGAGAAAAGGAGGTGGGAGAGGACGTCCTTGTGCTGTTACAGGATCCATTGATTTTGATGATATCTTCACAACCCTAGAAAATTGAAGAGAGAAAAAAGAGAGATAGGGTAGGATCTAGGTGGTGGTGGTGATGTTGTGTTGTATCTTTTTTTCTTTTGTTTGGTTTGGTTGATTTGAGGAATGGGAGGAGCTAGATAGGTGTAAATAGCATGTTATACTACTTAGTACTTACCTTGAAGAAAAAAGGAAAGGGTTTATTGTCACAAAAGCCACCAAATTTAGAGATGAATCAAGTAATCAACACCCATTTGATGATGATATCTATGTCATGCGTGAGGGACTTGAAGGTGCTTTGGTTAATTTGTTGATTGACATCTGAAGTGAAGCTACCTTTATGGAAGTAAAGAACTGGTAGTTCAGGGTTTGGAGGAAATAAGGTAATAAAGAGAGAGAGAGAGAGAGAGAGAGCTCTTCTTAGAAAGGAAAAAAAGGGGCAAGAGAAACGAGTTTGGGGGCTTTTGTGTTGGCTTAATAAGGGGATTGAGGGTGCTGTTGCTATTTGGTGTTTTTTTTTCTTTCTTTTTTTTTTTTTGGTTTTTTGGTTTTTTTTTCTTTGTTGAAACCTTTTGGGTTATTACAGAGTTGTTGTTGGGTTAGGGTTAGGTCCAAGAATCGGATGGGTTTGATATTGGTAAGACAGTGCGCATGGGCGGTGATGTGGGTCCCACATTTCTCTCTTCCATGGAGATGGAGGGTCCCATTTATTCAAGACTACCATGCTTACCCTTTTCTCTCTTTCTAACTCTTAACTCTAGCTGAGTAAGTAAACTTCCAAAAGCCTGCAAATAAGAACATATTTATGTCCTTAACTTATTGGCCAAAAATCTTGCTCACTCTATATTCCTTAACGCCTTCTTTTCCTTTGCTTTCATCTCTCTCTCTCTCCCTCTCTCTCTCTCTCTGCCTTTGGAACTCATTATTGCTTCCTCTGATGGTTCCCAGAATTGGTATGCTTCAAAGTTCAGCCATATCCCGTGCTTCAGGACTTTCTTTTCTTACTTATAAGTATTGTAACCTTCCTCTCATTAAATTTTCATCTTCTTAATTATTATATTTAGATCATGTTCATATAATAAGGGGAAAAAAGACTTTTTCTTGTCTCTAAAACTCTACTCCCGAGTAAGAATGAAATTCAAATAGAGATGGGATCTTTTGACACTAGTGTCAAATTTGAAATTTGACATCTTATCTGAGATTCATTAGATAAAAAAAATCAATGACTCTGATTTGTAAATATACGTAATACTATTGATCTTTTTTGATCTAGTGACTCTCAGATGAGGTGTTAAAAATTTGACACTGGTGTCAAAGTAATATACCTCGTTCAAACAACTTTTATATAAAACCATTTACTTCGAGTTTTTCAAATGATTTCTAGAAGTGTATCCTTGATGTCTTGTTCTTTTTGTGAAACTTTCTGTATTTTTAATCATGAAATAATAATAGATTCGGTTAATAGTAATATATCGCATCAACTACAAAAAAAAAAGTTAGTTATGATAGGATTTCTTATATAAAAGAATTTTTGAACTTTCAATATATGTGTCGCAAACAAATATCTTATACTTAATTGATTCATTTATAATCAATATAAATATATAGATACGCCAAAAGAAAAATCTAAATATAGAAAATGGTTGTATATATGATTTTTGGAGCAGCATCTTTTATAGACATGAATGTTTCGTCTTTTAAGGAAAAATATTCATACCAACCTTCAAACGGTCTATTACAACTTCTCATTTATACAGCTTCTAACCCAATGCAAAGTTTTGAAAAGGATGGAGTCAAAGAAAACCGTTAATTCAATAAATTAAGTGAAAATAGTCAATGAAGATTATTATATATAATAAGTTCATAATTTATCTTGATATTAAATCAAATTCTTAATTTATCCTTATTTTTTTCTGTATAAAAAAATCTTATATAATGTCTTTCAATTCAGCAAAATTATTATTGACATGTAATTAAGTGTCAAACCGGGGAAGCAGCCGGCAATTAGAAAAGCGAGTCATATTTTGCAAAGAGAGAAGAAAAAGCCAATCATTTAATTATCAATTCCCCTTAAAAAAAATGATTCTATAATTATGAACAATACTTCGGTTAATTTAATTTTTAGTATTTATTCATCAATTATATTATGCCTCCATATAAAAGGAAATATGCACACATTCCCAAAGATTGAATTCTTGATAGGGAACCGTTTGATTTTTTAAACTGTGTGTTTCTTCAATTTTACCAATTTTAGCTGGTTTAATCGCTTCGAAGATATTGTAATTGAACATCAATTAAAACTATATCTTGCCACGATCTAACGCGTCTGGTCTCTTTAAAACTTTAGGCTAGATTTTAGCATGCGATGACTATAATTGATAATGGAAAAAATTATAATATTTTTTTTAGATTTCTCCACCATTTCATGGTTACTCGACTAATTCAATTTGAATTAAGAGGAACACAAGGTTAAAAAAGCATTCTCTATAAAAAAAAATTGCACATCGGTATATTTAAGATTCGATCTAAAGTTGTATTATATTTATAAACGTAACAATACATCACAAGGTTAAGTTATAGAATAATTTTTTATATTATTAATTGATAATCAATATTAAAAATTGTGATATTCGTGAAAAAATAATGTAAAATTTATTCTAATATTTTTTCTTTGGAGAAAATTTTAATATTTTTTATATATAATATAATATAACTGAAATAATGAAGAGATGAGTTTGTTGAGATATATAGTCCCACATTGGTTAGATGTGCAACTAATGTGGCATTTATAAGGCCTTGGGCACTCCCACCCTTTGAGCTAGCTTTTGGGGTGGTGTATCACAAGGTTCTTTACATGGTATCAGAGCTTGAGCTCTCATCACCGCCTCCCACTTTAAAGTGGGATTAAAATAAAAAAAAAGCACAAAAGGTAAATCAAAAATTGGGCCTATGCAATTCCACGCTTCTAGCCAAAGAGCTCTTGCGTGAGGGGGCGTGTTGAGATATATAGTCCCACATTGGTTAGATGTGCAACTAATGTGGCCTTTATAAGGCCTTGGGCACTCCCACCCTTTGAGCTAGCTTTTGGGGTAGTGTATCCCAAGGTTCTTTACAGAGTTATTGGTCTTTTTATCATCTTGAGCTGCATAAGTTTTGCAACTTATTTAGTGGGTAAGAAAGATTTAGAAATATATTATCTCTTTAAGTTACTTTTACTCTTATATTATTTATATAATCAAATAAAATATAATTTTTTATTTTGTATATATCATCCAGTATTCGATCACCAATGGAAGTTGATTAATCCGAATTTATGTTGAGCAGAATTACAAATGCTACAAAATTTCTCGCTATCAACTTACTAAAAAGAAAATACTTGTTATATCTTAACAATTTTCTCACATCTTTTGCATTTAGTGAGAATTATGATTAATACGGAAAAAATATTTATCATTTTAAAGGACATAATTTTGTGTCTTTTTAAATAAAAATTCCGTGTTTTAGTACATATTTGTTGATTTTTTATATTCTCTCTTTCACAATACTCTCTCTTTCTCTTTCCTTCGCATTTTGTGGGGGGAAAGGAAATATAAAAGATCAACAAATAATAACAAAACAAAGTCTATTCCAGACCCATCCCACGCGGGATTATGGGCCCAACTAGCAAGAGGCTCAAAGGGCCCAAGGACTATTACTTAACAAGGAAAGAAACACAGTCATCTCGCGTAACTTGATCATCTTGCAACTACCTGGCATATGGAATCAACTGCTCAGTCAATTGCGACCCCAAGACATCAGCTGCTCAGAGTAACACTACCCTTATGTGAATCAATAGTTTGAGGACAGGCACTTTTTTGCCGCAATATCTACAAAGATTAAGCTTGATTATAGACATCTGGCTTAAATAGTAGCCTACGAAGATTATTCCTCTTCCAAATAGGAATGAACATCGCCATACCAAAAGCAACATAATCAGGATGCTCATCTACTATAAATACAAAGACATTAAACGCATGCATGATTATCTTCCCATCAATTCTTGAACCCCTTGAATATTTATTGACTTAAGTGTTAAAGTGTCTTGTAAGTACCCCTAGTCTTCCAAAGCTACTCCAAACATCAATGTTAGCCTAAGCATCTCGCCAACCAACCAAACGTGCTGGAAGCAGAGTATCAGCCTAAGCCCATACTCAAATATTGCAGAGTCAAACGTATGTGATCCAACCCAATAGCTGTTGGACTAATTATGATCGTTTAACTTAAAATGACAAATATTTTTCTTAAAGTAATATAAGTTCAATTGTAATTAAGAAAAATATAGAGTAAACACCTTTTTTGGTCCCTGGCAATATCTACGTAATCCTTTTTAGTCCCTGACAATAAAAAAGGACCAAATTGGTCCCTAAAATTATGAAAACAGGGCCACGTTAGTCCTTATGTCAATTCTTCCGTCACTAACGTGACCCATTTTACATATTGTTAGAGACCAATTTGGTCCTTTTTTATTTCTAGGGACTAAAAAGGATTTCGTAGATATTGCTAGGGACCAAAAAGGGTGTTTACTAAAAAAATATCTAAATATATACTAATATGTTCATATATATATATATATATATATGTATATATATATATACTTGGTATTACTTTTGAAAGAAAGGATTTATGTGAAAGTCAACTACATGAATTAGGGGATCAATGAATGTGTAATTTAAATTGTTTAATTACTATATTAATTAGTAACTCAACGGCTCCGTTTCAATAATGCATATGCGACAAGCTTTTATAGAGTCGTAAATTGCGGGTGAGGAAAAGTGAAAAAAGGAAGAGAAGAAGGCGTTTTCTAAGACTAAAAAAAAAATATAATATAAAAAATAAATAAAGTAAAAAATAAACGAAAATGAAGGGGGAGAGAGAGTGAGACATGTGGGGTCATGGGAAATTGGAGAAAGGACCCACCGGAACAATTAAGGTGAGGGAGAGAATTTATCGTGGTT